CGATTACGACATTTCGTCCAGCAACACTTCGAGGCGAAAATCGAGGGCTACACGTAATAGCATTCTAATCTTGATAAAAATTTAACATACTATCTGACAAGTATCAAAAAACTGAGGGAGGATATAAACTTAAGTGCTACTAGCACGTATGCATGAAAGGACTTAGACGCAGAAAAAGAGAAAAGATGACCAGGAATCAAGAAAACTCACCAATTCAAATGACATCAATTAACTCTGCCCCCTAGGTATGGCTGTGGCAATGGTGGTATTCAGGTTGTTGAAAATCCCTGAAAAAAATAAACGAGGTCCAATTAACAACAACATTATTGCAGTTTTCATAATAATAATAATTTTAAGTAAGATCTCACCTATTAACATTAAATGATGTATCTGCGACCCCAAGTTGGAAGTCCTGAAAAACAAAACAAAAAGAATTACGTGTTCCAGTCAACATCATTGTAGCTTTGATAATAGTCTCTAGTACAATCTGCCAAATAAAGAAAGACTAAAGCAAAGGTATACAGTTAAGTACTGCTACCATCTTAAAAAACAATAGGGCCTTGTCGATCGACAAGCAAAAGTAGATGCCCCACAATGAAAGCGTCTCACCAATTAAAGAGAAATGAAACCGACGGCGGTGGACAGACATCGAAAATCCTGAAAAAAGAGTACCAATTAAAACAATATCATCGTACTTTCATAATAATTTAAAGTACAATTCATACAAGTAGTAAAGACCTACAACTCCTACTACCAGCAAGTATGCATCAAATGAAATCGAGAGATGCTCAAAACCCAAGAAAACTGATGGTCAGGTTTTTCGAAATCCTGAAAAACTAAGACGCAAGTTACAGTTAATACACACATAGACCTCGATTTGCGCCGATTCAGAATAACGCCAATTTTGAAACAATAAAGTCAAAAAGTGAAGAAAATATATTTTACAATTAATTAAAAACATTTTACAATGTCTCTCGTACCGATTCTTATACTAAGCCGTAATTCTTACACCGCTCATTTTGAATGAAAATTATAAATACAGTCCTCTCTACAATTACGTATATCTCATTATCGCGAATTTGCTCCAATGACATCGATGAATCAGAAAAAACATTCGTGAAATGGAAACTTTTGCATATGCGAGTATGCTCATATGCAATTTAATTCCTGGCCCTTTAAACTATCAAAGGACTAATTTAATCTCTGCGGAGGTACCGAGATTAATTTTACCACGCGATTTTCAACTGGCCGGCTTCTCAAATGAATGCAACTATCGCATAACAGCAGAGATGACTGTACACATCAATTGCATTAAAGACCCGCAGTCAATCGCGGACCAACGAACTGCCGATTGTAAGCGTGTAAAATATATTTCTTAAATTCCCTTCATTTTATTAAATTATTTCAGACCGTTACAGCAATGCCATTGTATTACTCATCAACGTTGCCGTGCTGGGAACCCACGTCATTGACTTCCCATTCATTTACATAATAAAAGACTTTCAATTTACTCCGACTCTGATTACGACATTCCGTAAAGCAACGCATCAAGGCGAAAATCGAGGCCTACACGCAATAGCATTCTAATCTTCATAAAAATTTAACGTACGAACTGACAAATGTGAAAAAACTGAAGGAAGCTATAAACCTACGTGCCGTTAGCACATATGCATCAAAGGGCTTAGACGCACGAAAATAGAAAAGATGACAAGGAATCAAGAAAACTCACCAATTCAAATGACACCAATTAACTCTGCCCCCTAGGTACGGCTGTGGCAATGGTCGTATTCAGGTTCTTGAAAATCCCTGAAAAAGATAAATCAGATCCACTTAACAACAACAACATAATTGCAGTATTCATAATAATAAATTGAAGTGAGATCTCACCTATTAAGATAAGATGATGTATCTGCGACCCCGCGTTTTGGCTCTGTTGGAAATCCTGAAAAAAATAAACGAGGTCGAATTAACAACAACAAAAACATAATTGCAGTTTTCATAATAATAATTTGAAGTAAAAGCTCACCTATTAAGATGATGTATCTGCGACCCAGCGTTTCGGCGATGTTGGAAATCCTGAAAAACAAAAACAAAATATTAATGTGCTCCAGCCAACATCATTGTAGCTTTAATAATAATTTCAAGCACAATCTGCCAAATAAGGAAAGACTAAAGCAAAGGTATAGAGTTAAGTACTGCTACCACCTACACAACAGGGCCTTGTCGTTCGACAAGCAAAAGTAGACAATTCATACCAGTAGTAAAGACCTACAACAAGATACAAAGTTTTCCTACTACCAGCAAGTATGCGTCAACTGAAATCGAGAGATGCCCAAAACTCAAGAAAAGTGCTGGTCAGGTTTATCCAAGTCCTGAAAAACTAAGACGCAAGTTACTGTTAACACACAGGTGGACCTCGATTTGCGCGGATTCAGAACAACGCCAATTTTGAAACCAAAAAGTCAAAAAAATATATTTTACTATTATTTACAACATTTTACAATGTTTCTCGTACCGATTCTTATACTAAATCGTAATTCTTACATCGCTCATTTCGAATGAAAATTATAAATACAGTCCTCTCTACAATTACGTATGTCTCGTTAACGCGAATTTGCTCCAATGACATCGATGAATCGGAAAAAACATTCGTGAAATGGAAACTTTTGCATATGCGAGTTTGCTCATATGCAATTTCATTCCAGGCCCTTTAAACTATCAAAGGACTAATTTAATCTCTGCGGAGGAACCGAGGTTATTTTTACCACGCGATTTTCAACTGGCCGGCTTCTCAAATGAATGCAACTATCGCATAACAGCAGAGATGACTGTACACATCAATTGCATTAAAGACCCGCAGTCAATCGCGGACCAACGAACTGCCGATTGTAAGCGTGTAAAATATATTTCTTAAATTCCCTTCATTTTATTAAATTATTTCAGACCGTTACCGCAATGCCATTGTATTACTCATCAACGTTTCCGTGCTGGGAACCCACGTCATTGACTTCCCATTCATTTACATAATAAAAGACTTTCAATTTACTCCGACTCTGATTACGACATTCCGTAAAGCAACGCATCAAGGCGAAAATCGAGGCCTACACATAATGCCATTGTATTACTCATCAATGTTTGGGTGCTGGGAACGCACGTCATTGACTTCTAATTTATTTATATTATGAAACAGTTTCAATTTACTCCGACTCCGATTACGACAGTCCGTCCAGACACATCCAGGCGAAAATCGAGGGCTGCTCGTAATAGCATTCTAATCTTGATAAAAATTTAACATACTACCTGACAAATATGAAAATACTGAAGAAGTATATAAACTTACGTGCTGCTAGCTCGTATGCATCAAAGCTCTTAGACGCACGAAAATAGAAAAGATGACCAGGAATCAAGAAAACTCACCAATTCAAATGACACCAATTAACTCTGCCCCCTAGGTAAGGCGGTGGCAATGGTGGTATTCAGTTTCTTGAAAATCCCTGAAAAAAATAAACAAGGTCCAATTAACAACAACAACATAATTGCAGTTTTCATAATAATAACTTCAAGTAAAATCTCACCTATTAAGATAACATGACGTATCTGCGACCCCAAGTTTCGTTAGTGTTGGAAGTCCTGAAAAACAAAACAACAAAAAATAACGTGTTCCAGTCAACATTATTGTAGCTTTAATAATAATTTCAAGTACAATCTGCCAAATAAGGAAAAACTAATACAAATTTATAGAGTTAAGTACTGCTACCACCTACAAAACAAAAGAGCCTTCTCCTTCGACAAGCAAAAGTAGATGCCCCAAAATGAAGACAACTCACCAATTAGAGCAAAACGAAACCGACGGTGGTGGACAGACTGTAAAAAATCCTGAAAAACAGAGATCCAATTTAAAAAATATTATTGTAGTTTCATAATAATTTAAAGTACAATCCAGACAATTAGCAAAGACCTACAACAAGATACAAGGACTCCTACTACCAGCAAGTATGCAACAAGTGAAATCGAGAGAGACACAAAACTCAAGAAAACTGGTGGTCAGGTTTTTGGAAATCCGGAAAAAATAAGACGCAAGTTGCAGTTAATACACAGGTAGACCTCAATTTGCGCCGATTCAGAATAACGCCAATTTTGAAACCAGAAAATCAAAAAGATAGAAAAATATATTTTACTAATATTCACAACATTTTACAATGTATCTCGTACTGATTCTTACACTGAATCAAAATTTTTACATCGCCCAATTTGAATGAGAATTATAAATACAGTCCTCTCTACAATTACGTATGTCTCGATAACTCGAAATTTGCTAAAATGACATCGATGAATCAGAAAAAGCTGTTTGTGAAATGGAAACTTTTGCATATGTGAGTTTGCTCACATGCAATTTCATTCCAGGCCCTTGCAACTATCACATAACAGCAGAGATGACTGTACACATCAATCGCACGAAAGACCTGCAGTCAATCGCGGGAACCAACAAACTGCCGACTGTAAGTGTGTAAAATATATTTCTTAAATTCCCTTCATTTTATTAAGTTATTTTAGAGCTTTACCGTAATGCCATTGTATCACTCATCAATGTTTGGGTGCTGGGAACGCACGTCATTGACTTCTCATTCATTTACATTATGAAACAGTTTCAATTTCCTCCGACTCCGATTACGACATTTCGTCCAGCAACATATCAAGGCGAAAATCGAGGGCTACACGTAACAGCATTCTAATCTTGATACAAATTTAACGTACTACCTGACAAATATGAAAATACTGAAGGAGGATATAAACTTACGTGCCGTTAGCACGTATCCATCAAAGGGCTTAGACGCACGAAAAGACAAAAGATGACACGGAAGGAAGAAAACTCACCAATTCAAATGACACCAATTAACTCTGCCCCCTAGGTATGGCTGTGGCAATGGTGGTGTTCAGGTTGTTGAAAATCCCTGAAAAAAATAAACGAGGTCCAATTAACAACAACA